AGAAGGAGGATATGAATTGGAATCAACTTCAGCCCTTCCCGTCTCTTTTTCTGGCCTGTATTTAGAGATATTAATATACATAAATCCTTAGACAATTAACTTCCTTTTAGTGACCTAGAAAGGAGAAAGTTTTTCAAGAGTATTACATTTCACTTTAAATTAAATGTTTAAGACACTCAATTAAGGAGCCCAAACTACCTTTTTTTTTTTTCCTACTTTGCTAATGCCCTCAAAAACTTTGAGGCATTTACTCATCTCAGTGCCCTTCCTCAGCACTGTCATTGAGCGTTCCCTCTTCCTTCCCGAGGAAGGTAGGGAAGCCTCCCTTCTAAGCCAGCATTTTTCTTACCTGGCTCAGGATAAAGTTTCAGTTCTCCCACTCTCAGGCTGGAATTTGGGATACCACAAATCTGCCTATCACCCCAGGGATCAAACTGCAGTTAAGCTCCCACATTTTACTCATGTGGAAACTGAAGGACCACTGTCCCCCTTAAGGGCTAGAAATATTTTTGAGTATTGCACAAGAGTTAAGATCCAGAGAAAGAGCTGGAGGAGTTTTCAGAGGATTCCTGAGTCTCTGTGCAGCTCTGTGTATAAGTTCTCACTACATCTGATGTGGCAGCAGTTGCTGCTGAGTGATTGGCATTGGACTTTGAACAGACTGAATGTGCAAACCTACACAGAGAGGTAATACACTTGAGTTACTGCTTCTGATGGGCACCGTACTTACCAGAGTGCAACTGGCAGGGCTTGCGAGGAAGAGGAGGCCGCTTTCCTTCTCCTGGATTAAACCAGACTTCTCTCAGATTCAGTGTTAGTTCCCCCATGCCACAGGAAAGCAGAGGAGGGGTTTGTTCATATAAATGAGCAGGGAGTTGATGATATAGTCTACATCCTCGCTGAAAAGCCAAAGCAAAAAACGCACTGTTCAACCATCTGAGCCATGCCAGTTAGCCCAGGTGTGGATCAGACTTGCCTGCATGTAGACATGGAGGTGACGGTGTCCAGGAAGGAGCCTATCCACACATTTGGCAGCTGTGTAGCTCTGTCTTGTCGTCAGTTGTTCCCAGAGAAGGTAACTTCATTTTGGCATGTAATCCCGAGGCCCTTCTCAGTCACCGCGTGCCGTAACCCCACAGCGCCCTTACACCAGGCTGCTCCCTGCCCTGCCAGCCCGGGCCCGAGCAGAGGCGCTGCCTTTCTGCAGGGCTGGAAAAATCACTCGAGGGGTTTTTCACATCTGCTTCAGGCAACATTGGCCTTGTCAAAGAAGAAATAACCTAAGGAAGAATCAGGAGGGCTCCCGTAAGGCCCGCCTTTATGCAGGGTGTATCGCAACCCACTCCCTCTGCTGTCTCCTCTAATTTAGTACAGCCTGCATTAGAGTAAAAGCTTTTCGAGGTATTCCTAGCCACATGATTGACTGCTTGTGATTGTCATGAGTAGTTAGTACATCCCTCCACATGAGCCAGAATGGCTATTTTTAGTAGGCAAGAAAGCGGCAGGGAGGTAGAGATTTCAGCTGAGCACACTACAGCCTTCTGTTGCTCATAGATGGAAGTGCGCTTTGGTGTCTTCATTAGACCCCTTTAGTTAACAAATGCTGCTTGCTTTCCTCTTCAGAAAGGCCTATACCAACAGGTAATTCCCCCTGGAACATGCTGAAGTACTATTTCACTCTGGAGAGGGGGACAGAAGAGCTCACTGTGCAAAGTCATTTGTGACAGTGATGCAACGCACTATTAACAGGTTTTAATAGACATCCCTGGTGGTTAGCACCTTGCAAAAGAAAAGTGGAGCTTGCTAAGTTGCACTGAAAATTAACGATGAGAACAAGTACAGTAATTTAGGAGTAATTTAAAGATGAAGTACAATCGGGTTTGGCGAGAGCATGACCTGGTGCAGAGTAACACTTGCTCTTTTGCAGAAGCTGGTGGTAGTGCCTTCTATCTATCTCTTCACCTTCCCTCTCCTTCGGCTTTTGTGTCTAGGTCAAAACGTCGCCATTGCAGACAACTCGGACATGTCCCCGCGGGCCTCCAGCGGCGCGCGCTGGCAGAGCCCTGCTCCAGGCCGGAGCTTGGCTTTCCGCCCTAAGGAAGGGCTCAGCAGCGTAGGGAGAACATCACCTCATCACCTTTGTTGTTTTACCAGCTCCGTGTGGGGCTTCCATTCACACACTAGGGGTGTCTTAGCTGACAGTCACCTCCAGAACATGTTTTCATAGCCCCCTTGAGCACCATTTTCCACTAAATAAAAAATACCTTCATAGTATTTGCCAACTGTTTTTCTTGTCTTTAGTAAAGTCCTGTCTCAGGGCTACAGTAAGAATGCCCGAGATGTTGCTTGCTGGTAGATTTTTTTCCCCTTCCCTCTACTTTTTTTTTTTCTCCTTTCTTTCTCTTTCCAAGGCTATTGCCTTTAATTATGGTATTCAGGAATCTACCAGTGATTCAAAGATTCAGATTTGGTTCTGAGGAGTTAATCTAGCAGAAAAAAACCTTACTTTTATATTTAAATTGAATGATTTTTCTTTGGCAAAAAACATTCCCTGGCCCCTTTCAAAGGAGCCTGCTTGCCGTGCTCTGCATAGATTCCCCCTGGATTCTGAGCAGCCCATTTGCAAAGCTAATAATGCTATTAAAGAGGTGATTACTTATTTGGCTAGTGAATATTCTACACAAGTCAAATGGCTAATAGTTCAGTGAGCATCTTAGCAACATCCAGTGTAGTCCTGACAGTGACAGGAATTATTTTACGATTTTGTAGCTGTTTAGCCATCTAGAAAGAACCAGTAATTTTACTATTATTTGCAGTTTATGGCTACCAAAAGACAACAAACCAGTCACAAGCAGCTGAAGACTTCAGACCACAGCTATGAACATTTAACTGCTGCATTCCTCCCCCACACCCCAAAAGTTCTCCAGAAATAGCTTGAAGCACGTGCATGTCCTAGGCCGAATTCCTGCAGTATGGACTTTTGTTAGCATTAGCTCTTCCCATCCTGGGGGAAGAGCTTGTCACACTGGTCTTATTTTCCTACCTACTCTCAGATAAATCACTTTCGGTAAAGAGTTGGCTGTGAAAAGATGCTTTCTGAAATACGTGCACAGTGCTACCGAAGTTCCAGACGGATAATCCAACATACAGTTTGGATGATGAGCAGCAAGGAAGTCTTGCAGCTACACGGGTAACGGCTTCTTTAGAATCCACAAGTTTGCTGGAGAAAGCGCCAGGACGCAATGATGTAATTAAACACTTTCAAAGACTGGAAATGCTTTAGTGCCGTTTAATTACTCTACAGAAGCATTTCTGTATCAGCTTTCCGTAGAAGAACTTCAAAACCAAATCCAACAGGAACCATTTGAGAAAGGCAATCCAAACTTGCTTGTCCCCTAACACCATCCAGTAAAAGCATGGGTTAGTGATGAGAGTGGTTCCCCTGCCTCTTACCACCCACCCCAAGCCCAGCACTTGCAAGGATTGCGTTTCCTTTCCTCCCGTTGCAGGTACCTACCTTCTCTGCCTGTTGGAGCAGCAACTGAGGAAGTACAAGCCATTTTGCAAGGGGAGTCTTTCTCAAAGTCCAGGCGACATTGCAACATATGCTGGGAAACAATCAGTTATTTTCTCTGGAAGTTTTCCCACCCTTCATTTACAACACACAAAGCACATAATTGTTTCCAGTTGCCTAGCATACAACCTCCTGCCTCCCGAAATATCAGACCAAAGGCCACAGGCAAATACGCAGCAATCAGTACACAGAACGTTATCACTTTTAATCTAATTGTTCCTTTATGTAATTAGTTTTTCTCCTTTGGAGAGGAAGAGGTATATTGCCAAATCCATCTTCCCTTAGCTTTAAAAAGTGACCCAAAAGCCACACTGAGGCTACACATCCAGAACTCTTTCTCTAAATTACCAGGTTGCTCAAGAGTTTATGATTCTATGCAAAGCACACGAAAACTTTTCTAACATTCGAATGTTTGAAGTTTTCCTGACTCATGCTGAACTAAGGTCTTAAAGCATATTTCGAAGCTGTATAATTGCACAACTCCAGGGTAGACAGCGCACTCGGAATTACTTGAATTTCTAAGATGAGTTTCCGGTAGGACATTTCACATCAGAAAACTGCAACCAGTAACTGTGCAAGCAGCAACAGACAAGCACACACAGCTACTAGGATCAGGAGGAGCGCCAGAGTGTCACAAGTTACCCTTGTTCTTGCCTCTTTGTAAACAGAATGTTGCACTGACTGCTGATGCCTTGTGACACTGGTCACTGCTGGTCACCACCGTGCGTGGCGAGGGGAAGGTCACTGCAGCCCAGGCCAGGCTTGCAAAGCCACCTTGCTGTACCTCACCAAGTGCTTACAGGGTGGAACACACATTCTCTGCGTTTTTAACAGCAAAAATGGGTAAGGGATTTGCAAAAGCAATTTACAGCAGGCAAAAGAGTCATGGACACACTCCATGCACCAGACAGTACACTTTTTCCACAGCAGTAAAACAGTAAAGAGACCCAGGGGAAAAGCAACTCAAACCTGCATTATGCAGCTATACTTTTACGGTCACACCATCAACGCAGAGATAGCAAACCATGTTCTCAAATGTAAAATAAAATCAAGCATTTGCCGTCTTTTAAATATTTTATTTTAGTACTTTTAAATATGTTTTCATACAACAAAGATATAAAACAATATATTAATTCAATCTGAGTTTAGAATCAAAACAATATTTACTTATTTACAGTACTTGCTTTATACTTCACTGGCCTAACTTGCAGCCATTACATAATACTATTTTTTTTCTGTGGGAACAAAATTGAAGCAACTGTTCAGTGTGAAAAGCCATGTTTCTATATCCCTATTAAGTTACATACTGTGTACAATACAGCTTGTGATTTCTCCCATTTGACATATTTCTCATGTAAGAAAACTGAACTGAGAGCCACCAGAACTGAGTTACACTAAGTCTTGAGCTACGCAGTCACTTGGCTACCAGGGCAGGTTACTGTGCTCCACATTTAACACCTTGATGTCTTGCACACCTATCTATCACAAACTGGCTTGGAAAATGTGCGTGTCCAAGTTACATGCGTTATATTCACGGCAACTTTAAGATACAAACAACAAGCACTGCAGGAAACAGCTGTACAAGAAGGTCAGTGTTCACAATGTTATAGTGTTTGAAGGGTTGTAGGGGGTTGGGGGGTGTTTTTCTTAAAATGATCAGCAAGACACCTCTAGGTTCACTCCAAGGGACTTTTTCCCCACGGCCCCAGAAATACTGTTTCAGTTGGAATAGCAACATCATCAAATACCATCAGAATTAGTCATCTGTATGGATCCGCAGCGGTCTACCAATTCCCGAGTCAAGAACTCTCGTACTTACAACCCAATTCACAGCGTGTGCTAGCTCAGTAGCAGGACTTTTGTCAAATAACGCCCCCTCAAGATTGACAGTTTTGTAGTAACAAATAATGCTAGATTATTCCAAACTAAAAACATCCTGCAAGGATTCCAACAGATTTTGCCCCATCTTCAGTGGAAACTACGTGGACAGAATGAAATACTATTAATTGTAGTCATTACTGGTTATTCTTCTGATGTTACACTCTAAGTCCACAAAACCCACATTTATTTGAGATATCTGGTATATCTTCAGATAGATATTTAATGATTCAGTGCTCACAAACTTCAGCAAACATTAATAAGTACATAAAAAGCTAAGGAGCTAAACAGAAATAAACAAGTGTAACCCTGAAGTGTATAAGCATTGCTAAAAAATTTTTTTAAAAGACACCAACTGCTGCCAGATTCTTGTGTTGGTCTTGGGAGTTCTGTCCTTCTGTCTTCCCCTAGATACTCCTTCTGTCACTGTAAGAGATACCACACAGAGCTAGCCATACAAAAAGCAAAAAAGGATACAGAAATCTGTAGCGTTACCTTTGCTGAAGGACTTTAATACTGCTAAATACCATTTTATTTGACATTCGCATCTGAAGTATTTTTTTTCCTCTCCAATTCATTTCATTGATTTCTACTTCTTAAACCAACTATCAAGGTTTTTGCTGCACTTTGTTTCTTTGTTTTGATGATTTTTTCTTAAGAAAGCTTTTTTTGGGGGGAGGGGGAGTGGGGGTAGCTGCTCAGAACACATCTATGTAGTAAGGAATTGTCCTGGAACATGCTTTCTTTTATGACAAATAAAATCAGGGTAAATTGAAAAGAAAATGGTATTATCTCTTCCTGTGACAGTATCAGAATACTACACAGAGCATGCACTTGCACTAATCCAAATGGCTTGGTTTAACCCTCACCAAGGTTAGTAATCAGTGATTTGGTTAAGCATATAGTTTGCTTCATCACAAGCAGCAAACTTACAGGATCCACACATCTGTCACCTTATCATCACCTACGTGTGCATGTCCACACACCTACTCCAAGTAGGAGCAAAACTGACAGAAACAAAGAACAGTTTAGGACTAGTGCAAAGTTCCAAGTATTGCTGAATTTGCCAAATTACCAAGAAAAAGCATAAAGCATGACTTCTCTTTTGTATCCCCCAGAGTTATTCAAAGTCAGACTTTTCTGCTTGGTGGTACCTGCCTCGCCTTCTCGTTGGCCACTTGCCCTCCCTGGGTAAAGCAGCGAGCGGCTTCCTTCCCTTCTCCGCATCTGATGTGGCGCACGACACGACGAGACACAGCAGCAAGGAGCTAAGGGAGGGCAGAGGGACACGCGGGGACGCGGCAGGGAGCGGGCCGAGCACAGACACGCTCAGCATCATCCCCAGGGCCAGCCAACGCTCCGCTGCCTTCGCTCCCAAGGGAGAGGAGGCCGAACCCTTCCAAAGCACCGACTCTTCAAAAAGGAGCCTGTCAGTCACCTGAAGATTGTTTCTATCGAGTTAAGAGTAAAGCTTCATCTACCAGCTTTAAGGACTGATGTGTGTGCTATTTTGCAAGCGGAATCAAATTTTCTGCCTTGTAACAACTTCAAGCTTTCCACTTGTGTGCTTCCAGACAGACAAAATTAACTCCTAAAGCAGAAAACAACAATTCCCCTGACAACATGTTAACCCAATCCGGTTCTCTCAAGCCCAGCGTTGGTACAGCATTGTCTTGGATACAGGTATATAGCATCAAGGGAAACAGCACAAAAGGAACACAAGTCTCTTTTTTTTAAAAAAAAAAAAAACACACTGATAGGCAGTGCTGACTTATCACACCGATTTACTTAACAGAATTTGAGAAAATAAACCCAGAGAGAAGCCTTATGTTTCAAAGTACTTCAACTTAACAAAAAACTAATATTGAAATGATACCTTCATGTAAACATTATTACACTGGGCTGTACTTTAAAACTCTGCTGTATGACTAAGTTTCAAAATAACTTTTCAATGCAGACATAGGTGTGTCAGTGGACATGGTTCTTTTCAGAATCAACAGCTTTGCAAGTTGAACTGCATACCTTTCTCCTGCTACAACTCGGAACACAGCCCTGCACATGGGAAAACAGAACATCTAGGAGTATAAAACAGCATTCCTAGCTGTGTATGCATTGCAAAGGCAAATATAAATTAGTAAATAAAAAACTCTTATATCAAGTCTCAAGAGGAATGTTCAAAATGCCTTTCCTAAATCGGAAAGGCAAGGACAGAAAAAGGAGCAAGTCTTTCACAATATATTCTCTTTCTGGTTGCTGTTAGATATAAGCATATCATATCCTGCCTAGTTTGGATGGCAGGAGCCATCAGGCTACGGTGGATTGAACAATATATTATGACACCTGCAATTTTGCTAAAAACAGGAATGTTACAAATACAAAAGTCTGCAGAATAGCACAATGTGCGTGTGCTCAATGCACTTGGTACAGATAATACTCTAAGATGCACAATTCTTCTGTGAAATAGGAGCTAAATTAAGTTACAAAAGTAACATATTATGAAGAGAGGAAGACTGTTATTAATTATTTCTAGTACAAACCAGATTTATAAAAGGAACACAGAAGTGGACCACAGTGGGTTACAAACCTTCAATTACAAAACTGTCTTGCAAGATTCCACCAAAGGGATTGTTTTTCATGCAAATATATGTACATTATGGCCATAAGCTAGTCTGCACCAAGCTAGACAAGTTTTATGCAGCTTTCCAAAGCTGACTTACACTACCTTCCCCACATACCACCTCTTCTGAAACTGCCGTAATTCATTAAAAGGGCTGCACACTTGGAGCAAGCTGCAACTTTTACCTGTCTGCATAAAGCTCCTCGCCATAAACCAAAACAAATCTCTTCCACTAATGGCACTATTTTCTTCTTACAAACCACTGCACGAGAAGCCACCAACTGTGCGACCCCTGCTTACACAGTGCAGCCTCAAAGCAATTTTTATCACTCACACTCAACTGCTTTACGGTACTTGATCTTTCAGTGTAGTAAACGAACAACTTAAATTAAGAACTAGTCTTTTTTCATACTTGCTATAAGAACAATAGTGTATATGTATCCAAATATATTGTGTTCATATATCTAGAGATATTCACCACATTGTTGACACCAGAGTGATTAGACATACTTTAAAACAAAAAGCAATATGAGCACTATCTCCAGAACTCAATAATACACTTTTCTTGAAAGAGTTACTACATGCATTTTTCCCATTCATTTACATGAAGATAACTGTTATGTTTTGCCAATGTTAAAGAGCTGCTCATAAAATGCATGCATATGTCTGAATATAAAGCAATTAAAACCACACAGAAAAGTTACTCTGTGGCTTTAAAAGCACTAAAGCTAACTTGACTTTCAGGGGATGCGGTATTTATTTCCAACTCATTTATTGAAACGTAAAGGGAAGACTGGCAAGTGCTAGAACAACTGTATAGATGATTGGTAGACTCGACTAAACAAGCTCTTAAAAAGAAACAAAAACAAAAACAAAAAAACCCCACAGAACACATCACCACTACGCACCAAGAAGGCAGACTCATTTTTGGCATCCTGTATGCAGACCACTTATATTCTCAACTATACTTTAAGACTTGCTACTTAACAGTTGAGGGACCCTTTCAGCAAGAAACACCTGCTCCCCTCCTTATGACACAATACTCCATCTTTGAGCATACACTTCATTTCAGTTCAAAAATTAAACTATTTATAACTTTTAAAAGAAAGTCAATGCAAAGTACTAAGTTGGTATACGTAAAGGTTGACATGTCAGACAACGGAGAAACCTGGACATACAAAGGACAGGCTATACTTAGTACAAGCACCTATTTGAGGTTAAAGTTACTTAAACGTTCACACAGAACCTTCATAACGGTAACAGTCTTCTGATTCATATTCATGATTCAGTGATTGCCTTTACCCATCCCTGCCTTGCTTTCTGTTTAGGCAAAAACCACACACATCCCCATGAAGTATGGGTAGCCCAGTCTATGACCAAGAATCACAAAAAATGAGACAAGGAGGAAGAGACCACGGAGTGATGAATGTTCTTTTATATCCTCCCAGCTAGCCTTGTAGGGTCTTAGTCATAATTTTTCACGAAAAGTCTGAATTAACCCATACACTCTTCAGCCAATCAATCTTTTCATTATTGTAGGTTTTGAAAAGGGCCAGCAATACTCATTGGGAACAGTACCATTAACATTGCATTCAAAAAATGAAAACATAGGAAACCAGATCCTTGCTCTCCTACTCTGCTGATATGCTCTGGTATTAGCCAAGGTATGATAATACAGAAAGAGTCTTGTAGTGATGTAAAAGGCAATGAAGACATCTATAGAATAATGTTCATGTGCTGCCAAAATGAAGAAGATTCCAAAGAGATTCAGGACCCAGGACAAGGTATGCAAGAAGTTCCAGCTCCTTGGTGTATCTAGGAGAAAAAAAAGTGACTAATTGAACTGTCCCCCCAAAATAACTTATTACTAAGTGCATTCCTAGCCGACAAAAGTTTACAGACAGGTTTTTAATCCAGCTTTAAAGCTGCACCCTGTGCCTTTGATAGATGGCAAGCAGCACATGCTCTTAATATATAAAGGATATTTAACTACTGAGACTCTGTACTTACACTCTGTGACAAAGAAGTTGAGCATGGTCAGGACAACAGTATGGCCACTGAACATATAATCTCCACACGTATGTACTCCAGTCAGAGTCATTCCAAAGCCACTCCATATTGCAAATGCCCGCTGGAGTTTTGCCCAAACATTGCCATACAACTAAAAGACAAGGAAAGACAATGACATTATTCTTTAGGTTGTTTTATTTACTTTCAACACAATCTCCTTAGAATTATACCATAGGTAATTGAACAACAGCTTTCTAACAGTATGCATATCTATTATTATTTATCTTTTTTTGCTTTGATTAAAATACAGGTTAGCATATATTTGATTTTTCTGAGGCACAGCAAATCAATCACATTAGTAGCTATAATTGTGTGTCTGATGAATCCTGGAAATGTAAAGCAAGTATTTTATTGCCAGTGATTTACAGACCAGCTTCTTGGAATGTATCCTGCCTCCTGATGCGTCATTGTCGAGCTTACAATATTAAGCCGAAACACGTATCAATTACAAGTTAGACTAAAAATATGTAATCTCATGTTCTATACCTCTTAAGGGGCGAAGCCTTGCAGGCATCAAGGCAAAGATGCAACTACTCCACAGGTAACCATTCCTCATTAAGTCAGTGCCTTAGGTTCACATTTATTCGATGTATTCTCTCCAGTTTATGTTGTGAAATAACCTGCATGCCCCCCTTTTACCTTCATTAAATAACTCCAAAGCAAAAAATGCCTCCAAGATCCTTAAGAAGGTATACCTGCATAACGGGAATTTATGGGATGGGCAAGTGGAGACATGCTGCTCTTATAAAGACACATATTACATGATGGCCACGAGAACCTTAACTAAATACAATAAACTTAAAACTAAATACAATAGGAAACAATTTTAAAGCACTTTTGGTTTTTACCTTTCCAGTACACTGCAGGTGCTGGCCTGGCACAGAGAGTGAGGTAACAAACATTGTAATGCAACGTAGCAAGAATACTGTCCCCATGAGGCTGCACAGTCTCCGCAGAAGTATAGATCTGGGAAAAGTGCAGAGGAACTCACAGCAAGAATCCCAACATATTGTATTATTACATGAATAAAGTTATAAAAACAGCTCCCCCTCCCAGCTCACTCAGTAGTTATTCCCAAGCTTCAGCACAAGTTTGTTTATTTTTAATTGGTCCTATGAAGTTACTGTGCCACACTACAGGTAAGACAACATAAGCTCATTGCCACGAGAAGGGATAGTTCCCATTCCTCTAAACTACATTTGTATTAGTTTTGACACTCGTATGTTCTGTTAATGAACTGATAAAACTCAATAGTTTAGAAAAAAAACTAATTTAAAACATGCACACACCAAGCTAGTTTTGACACTGATAAAACTCGATGGTTTAGAAAAAACAACTAATTTAAAACATGCACACACCAAGACTTTCTCCCTTCAGTGGCAGCAAGCTGCTAGGTTGCCTCAGTCATGTTGTGCCATTTCATTCTTGTAGAACTTCCTTATACACAAAATTGTTACATTATGAAAATGTTAAATTATGAAAATACATACACCTCCATGAAAATACACAGGTTTCGAAGGAAATTGCAGATAGAATCAGTGAAAAAACACATTCGGATCACTCCCTCCTAAGGTTCACAAGTCAACATTATGAATTACATTCTCCCTGATGCATTTTAACAGAGGCATATTGGAAGTTTATCACCAGTTCCAAATGAAAGGAAATTCTTAAAGAGATGTAAATTCTAGTAACAGTCAGTTCTCTGAATGAGAGAACCAGTTACTTGGAATCTACATGTAGACCATACCTGTGCTTGTGAAGGAGAAGAACCAACAGCCAAATATAGCAAAGAATTACACCGCACACTTCTGTCATGGCAAAAGCCCAGGGTATCCTAGGGACGCTAAAACATGGATGAACCGAGAAAATTAGCTTTGTTTTTTAGCCTCAATATTTAGAATGCAGGCATTTAATTTTATAAGCTCTAACTACAGAACTAACTTACATTACTCTGAAAACAGTTTAAATTACAAACAAAAATTGATAAAACAAAAACTCTGTTAGCCTGACTTATTTAAACATGATTTATAATCATTTTTAATTGCCTTATCTCCTTCTGATAATATATTTTCAGCAGACATACATGGAATTCACCAAGTCAAAATGTTTACAGTTTCTAATACTTCACACGTGTGAATTCCCTACCTAGATCCCTAACTGATCCTCTACCAATCAGTTTCCGGTGAGCTTTTCCATCCCAACACATTAACTTGCATCACGTCTATTATGCTGCACTTGCAAGAATGCCATGTCAACACAATCAGTGAAATGCTGCCAAGTTTAAAACAATCAATATATCTAATGAAATAGGACTGCACAGAAAGTGCAAGTGCAGTATTAGGAAAGAGAATTGCTTTCAAAGTTCCATTTCAGTGATAATCACTGTATGCAAACCTGTCAGCCCCGCTTGTCAAACTAATTACTATCTTAAATGCATATGGCACTAGTAACAGCTTCCACCCTACAATGCCGCTGAAATACAGCCCGAGAGGGTTCCGTGGAGTTTGACCCTCCCGTGACAGGAGGCGGGCGCAGAGCGCTGCTCCTCCGCGAGCTCCGCGCCGTCCCCTGGCACTGCTGGCCGGCCTCGTCCACGCTCCCGGCCACGGAACGAGCCTTAGTGCCTGCAAAGGGAGCCCGGCAGCGCCCCAACTCCCAGGCTCCCTCCTCCATCCTCCGCTGCTCGCTGCGGGCAGTCCTTGCCAAGCCTTATCTACATTTGCTGTGTATTCTGAACACTTATTCAAAAGATTAGCCCTACGGGCTTCACCGAAACAATTAAGGAAAATAGAGAATACTGGCAGGAATAAGGAGACCACAAGACTTAACTCTTAAACAGTTCATTTTGTCACCTTAAACTCTCTAGGTATTAAGCTCTCTATGCTAACCAAAACACTTCAGTATCCTTCAAGAACTCAGATTGCAATTTCTCCAGAAGATGCTCTTCCTCCCTTTCTAATTCCCAGAGTGAATAAATCACTTTGGATAGGTCAAATGAGAATGAAGCTCAGTTCTAGTCCCAAAAGTTCATTTTCAGCTTTTATCATTAGGACTCTTCAGAGGCACAGGTCCCGTTTTCTTCCTTTATTTTAACTTTTCTCAGACAAAAGTATGTAACTGGTTTCAAAAGAACAATAGTATCTGCTTATACATCCCACAAAAATCTAATCCCTAGTTCTGCGATGATAAAAGACTACAGGATACATATAAGATTTCTTAAAAGCTAACCTTTAGAGTCTTAAGCATTATGCAAAACTCTCGAGAAAAGTAAAAGCTCCTAAACTCACTGAAAAAAAATGACTTAGCAGCAGAGCAACTGGCCCTTGCTTATTAACAGTGCATGTTCAAGGTGTTAAGCAGGTTCCCCACAAAAAATAGATACCTCAAGAAGGGGATGGACGAATTTATTTACTATACTGCAGTATTACTTACTGCTAGTAGTCAGCGAAAGCTGTGTGGGTAAATACAAATTGGGTAGAACTTACCCCTGTTCAGACTAAAGCTCTGTTTCTAACTGAAGCACGTTTCAATCTTAACAGCGGGGTCTAATACGCTCAAATTATTATTTGGCAGAAGTATCTTCAAGAGCACATGAAACTTTTTAACAAAAAAGAACAGTCAATCTGTGCTTCAGCCATCAATTCATTCAGTTAAACTTCTCACCTGTCTAGAAATATGTCTGGTAGAGGTGGATATGTTTGCATGTCGGGTACTCTCTCGTGTACTATAACCATCACAAAGGAGGTAAAGCCAAACACGATGAAGACATACACGCAACTCAAAACCGTCTTCCAGTACTCTGGGTCCAGCCTGCGCGCCGCGTGCTTGCTCTTCCCGTTGGTGTATTGGTACTGATCACCATTCAAGTCAGTAATTGGTCCATCATAGTCCCGAGGAACTTCACCGTTACAAAACCAATCTGAACCTTGAAGGGAACCAACATTAGGGCACACGGGGCTCAGGTGACTATCACTGCTGTAACCGAGCTCTTCTAGGACATCAATATGTTGTTTTTGCAGCTTGCGTATGGACAACATCAGCCTTTTGATATCTCCCAGGACTTTGATTTCTAAAGGAGGAGATCGTAAGTCATATTCAGTGAGTGTCAGCAACGTAATTCCATCCAGTCTGTGTCTATTGCACAAAATATCCACGTATTCACAGAAGCCTTCTTCTTTCAGCCACTTGGCCACGTTCTTGGTAGTCCAACGTCGAATGCAAAGCTGACTAGTGCCTGCCATCATCTTTCTGTGTTAGCCAGCAAAACTGACCTGCACATTTTGGAGAAAGACCAGATGTAAATGTTTAGTGAACATGACTTAAATGCCAGTGTATATTATGCACTTCTAGATGCTTAATCAGCCAAAGAACTTTTACACAAGGGTCAGTTTTAAAAAGGAAATAAAAGTAATAATATTTTAAGTTGGAAAAAAAATATTAAACAAAACTAAATTCACCTAATTCATACCTAAGGAGAAATAGAAATTTAAAGTCCCCCAGAAAATTATTTCCTAGGCACATCCAGTCTAGTTTTAGTCATTTATAAGTTTAATTATACCAGACCACCACCACCAACAAAAAAATCCTGTTTTACTTAACATTTAAGCATTTTTTCCATACTATTTGCAATTCCTAAGCTAAGCAAGAACAGATAGCCAGGAACATATGAAAACCAGACTAAGACTAAAATAGTACACTACAGGTCCAAAACATTCCAATGTTTCAAAAATACATCCTGAAGTTTTATGGTTTGAATCTCCTGGCAAACTTAAGGTAAGATATCTACAACAATTCAGTGCATGTTAATGGTATCATACTTCAATTAATGTTTCCTTTAAAGGAATTAAAGATACCGTAAATTGTTGAAGATACCTTTTAAATAACATTACTGGAAACCGAGCATTAGTTCTAATTCCAAACCTATCTGCAAGGTGGAAATAAATACCATAACAGCACCCCAAAGGGAGAAAAAGATAGAAAAAGAGTGTGTTCTCTATGAAGAGATTTTCTCAGTAACTGTTTACTTGACTCATGCAACAACTCTCTCTCTACTTGGATCACAGAGTTATTAGAAAAAAAAGTTACTTACTTCATTACTTACAAATTCAATGTTATAACTGACCTGTTCCGTACTGTATCTTGTTTCATCTTAAGTAAAGTTTAAAAGTTTTACTGAAAGTTAAAAACAAAACAAAATCCAATCAAACAAGAACAACCACGCAGCTTGGAGTCAGCCATCCAGACTTCTGGCTTTTCATACTCAGAAATACAGAAGAAAAGCCATAAGGACAGAACTCAGCTGTAGCGTTACATACAGAGCAACAGCGGAATCACAGCCAGCTTCCCAGAAGCAGTGAGTTTAAAGACCACCACACGTTCACTCAGCTTACAGATTTGTCTCCTAAGCAAAGCCACTTTCGAGGATCAAGGCAGGAAATTCTCCTTAATCTACGAGAATTCTGGTTGTGTGTTACAAGTCAGGAATCCTAACACCCACCTAGTGTTTATCCAGCATTCCAAGAATAAAACACATCTCCTATATTACATGCAGTAAAAGTGACCTTTTAACACTGAGTAAGCATAGCCCAAAAAGTCAAAGGTCATTCATGGAAGGGTTGGATCTGGGAGAAAGTCCACATTACTTGGGATGCACCTGACAGGACCCGCTCCTATTTTTAAATGCTGTCAAAGAAAATAAAGTTGAGCAATTGAAAGAAAGGGCTCAACAAAAGTAGTAAGCTCTTATACAATATACAAATGTAAACCATCTCACACAGCTCATCTTTACAGCAACAGTTAAGTTCAGGTCTTACGACAATGCATTTTCTTTAAACTTGGAAGCTGCATTCTCCTTCAGACTACTCATTTAGAACCACTTTTGTAGTTTACACAGTGAAAAACACTTTTCCTGGAAAACACATTTTCCTAACGTTGTGGTCCTCTGGAACACAACACAGACCTCTGGGCCCAACCAGCAGATATTCATGTGTGAAGCTTAAGAAAATTGCCAGCTTTCACGCAAAATTTCTCCACCCCAGTATTTGAACTTGACAGATTTATGCTTTTACTATTATCAGTGTGCAATGCAAGACGGACCAAAGAAACAGAAGAGACCAAATCACCTAAATAATGGTACTTGTCTTTTAATGGGAAATAGCAATGAAAACTACTCTTTCGCCTTCTACATTCCTGGCTTTATCTCTGAAACCAAGTAATGGAACACACGAGTAGCATGGAGCAAGCAGAAACTTAGGTTCCAGAGGGCAGAAGATACTTTTTTTGCCAACATCAGCAATGCCTGCAGCCAGACAGTTACAGCCTTCCCGTGGTATTAAATTCAGTCAGTTCATCAGTCGTGCCTATCATGTGCTCCATTTCCCTTTTTCCCTTCCCAGCCTTTCTATTAGCAGCATTAACACAACTGAGTAAGAAGCTGTGTGAGTGCAGGCACGTATGCAGGCATCTAAAGAAATCTGACATGATAAGCCATGCATATTTCTAGATTTTGGCTAGGACATTTTAAAAGACAGGGTGTGCTCCAGCTGTGAGTTCAGTGTATTTCCTGAATGCTTATTTAAGTATGGAAAATTAATCTCTTTCGAAATGATTATCTGTAATTTTTATGTTTTCCACTACTGAATTACTGCCAATCACCCATTAAGCAGCTCCATGTTTATAACTTGCCATGTATACAGAGTTTGTGTCTGTATACCAAGCTAAAAATGGGGAAAGCCGAGTATGGTTGTTGCTAGTGCAGCCAGCGGAAGGTGGCATTAACAGACGGACATTTGGCTGAGATGCTGTTAGGCTAGAATCAAAGCTAAGGGTTAAATGGAGCTTCAGGTACACCTGAGGCACAGCACAACACCAAGTGAATCGGTTCACCCCAGATGTGCATGCAAAATCCCACCAGCATCATTACTGCTCCACGATCCGGCCACGTGTGCTGCGGAGGTAAAGCCTGCAAGCTCTCCTTTCTGACATGCTTCACGATTCGTTTCCTAATAGCTTTAAAACTTGCCATCCTTGAGTGGAATTTTAGGAAGGACAATGAAGAACTATCAGATCTCAAGGGATTTAGCCTACATTTCTGCATAGAAGGTTCCAAGATGAAGCATAGACAAGTGCAACTAACCCCTTCCTTTACCACACATACCCTTTAGGTGAAAAGCTTTTCTGGACAAAATCTGCTGTTTGCAGCGCTGACACAACCCAGGCTTGAATACTTGTCTCTCATGCATAAAAAACCATCAACAATCAAGTATGCTGAGTCAACTTGCAGCAGGAAAGTTACTGTCACGTACCCATTTAGAAATGCTGTGCTGGAAAAAGAACACGCAGCGCTGCCTTGTTATGCACAGAAAGGCTCAGATTCTCTGTCAACTGGCATTAGAGGCTGTCACTTGCCCTCAAACTCCTCAAGTTCTTCAGTGCTTATTTAAGCACTGAATGAGTCAAAGGTTTCATTGCAATACATTAATGCAGTGATTTGATCCTTAACTAAACGCCACTATACACATCTATCTTGTAAGGTAGCTTGTAAACAAAAGGAAAAAAAGAAAACTTGCATAATGTGCTTTTTGAAGTTATTTTTTAAAATAGCTACCCCTGTACATATGACTGATGGAGCTGCAGAGATTGAAAAATTACAGAAATGTTTTCCTGAAGCAAGCTTGCCATAACTTCAAACACAGAAACAGTCCCATAGAAATTGCATTCTGTTTTTTTCCAGGGGCTTTGCAATCAGATTTGTTTCATAAAACATTTTTAGAAAATGACATTATCAGTAGTATTTTACTTGTACTCAAAGGTCTTGGTACTTTATTCGAAGGAAGATAAGAAATACATTTAGCTTACTCTATGTTTTAAATTTTTAAGCCATAAAGGAATATCTATTTTTCTAACATTACTTGTTAGAGTGCTGCACTGTGAAAACTAAAGTTTATATTTAAAATTCCCAGATTTGCTCCACATGCTTAGAAGAATCCTTTTGTTGGAAAGTAAAACTGGCAGCAGGTAATACAGAAAATCCCTGAAGTTGCACACACTTGCCTCAAGAACCACTAAGGTGCAGTTAGGTCTTGCAGCAAGCTCTTCGGTCTACATTATCACTCCTTGACTGCTGCAATGAAGCAAAAGGTTCCACTTCCTCAAGTGACTGCTCCCAAGGGCTCCCCTCTAATCTAACAGCCAAACAACAACACACTTCTCACCCTGCCACCATAGTTCGAGGTGCACAAGGGATCTTTAAACAACCGAACAAGAACTTCTCCACTCAACATATCTTAGAACACAACTCAAGAGTACTTCACTAATATTTGTACAAGACCTTGAACATTTCGTATGCCAGAAGCAGTCAAATTTCAAGTTTGCTGCGTTTTTTTTCGCTCCTCCAACCTCAAGCAATACTACAGTCACCCAGTAACAGAACATTTGCTGCTGTTTACCCAACACACACCAGAAAAGCAATGTGGCTTCTCTTCTCTCTTTCACCTCCTCCTTTTGTTCCCCCTACCCCCTCACCTTTAGATGAAAACACAGGGGAGACATGAAAGAATCCATATAATTAGTATGATTATTATATATAATTAGAAACACTACTAGAGCAATATCAGAAATGAAACTGTTTGTTCTTCCTCTCTACAGCCTCTTACAGTCTGCTTCCTAGTACACTGGAAATCTAGGAGTCTTCACTTCTGATACGTTAAATAAGAAGGAGATAACATTTTAAAGAAGAAATATGATTACCACTGAACACTTGCAAAGCAATACGGCTTGTTTATGTCGAGCAGCTTCGTGGTCCTCAATACTGAGCTCTGTACAGAGCTAAATGACAGTGTTGAACTGGAAAGACTGCAACTTCTAGCACAAACAGTGTTTTAAATTGTCTAACAGGAAAAAAAAAAAACAGCCAAAAAGATTACGTTAAAGAGCAAGCAAGATAACCTACA